AGAAGTGAATACACCAACTAGGAATGATTGACCTCTTGTCCATTCCGAAGGCATTGTTTGAACCAAAATGCAGTCATAGAACGCGCATCTTTGGCATCAAATGGGCCTTCTTTATGACGAAATTCATGTGCTCCAACTTCAACAATCTCTGTGCGATGTGCATGTGTTACAACTGCTGAGCCTGTTGTATCAAACTTAATAACTCCAATATCCCTGTCTGTTAAAATATTTATTAGCTCTATTAGCTTAGCAACACTACTCTGTGGATTTGTTTCTGACAAAGTGGGATCCTCTTGTTTATTAATATTGTAGCTTTCAACAGGGCAGAGAACAGTTTCTTCATTTTTACTTTTTTAAATGAAATAGCATGTTTACAATCTTGCACTTTGACCACTTTGCTTCCATCCAAAGGAACGGATGCTGGCTTACTGGTGTCATCACTTCAAGCAAAGAAAGCTCTCATCAATTTGCTTGACTCCAACATCGAAGCTGCAAATTGTGCACGTCTTTTGCGTCCCTGTGCCCCACTTTCTTTTTTCAACGTAATGGGCTAAAAGAATAAATTAATAAATACTGACTACACTAGGAAAGGAAGCATTATACTTTCCTAAGTTCCTAACCACAAAGTATATTTAAATATACAATTATAGTTGCAACTCATGACTAGTTAGGCACATCTGGACCTGGTTCACTTTAACTGCCATTATTTAGACCAACCCATACTCATGTTAATTAATGTGACCCAACAGTAAGAAAATAAATGCAGATGAGTGTATATGCTGGTAAATCATGCTTATGAGCACCACATAAATTACTGGCAGTTGCTAAATCACATTTAAAAACTCGATAGGTTTAACTACACGAACACTACAGGAGACAAGTCTAAAATTGCTTGAATGAAAATTACACACACTGTGGAGAAGGGTGTAATCATAACATAATATAAGCCTAGAGGCTCAAAGGCTATATTTAATATTAATTAGTGGTGCTAGATTACAGCTCCTAGATTAAGTCGCTAGTACATCTAGATCTAACATTCTTGTTACCTGAATGTCAAAAGGTCATAAAATGTCCTAATCCTTTTACTCAGGTAAATCTTGCATATGTTAACAGCTAGAAACTCATAATCAGGGGTTGCTCAGATATTTGTATAACTTGATATGAATTAGGGGTTAATATTCCCTATAAATAATAAGTGTAATAGTTGGTGACATTTGCAGTGTTGGATTCTGCTACATGCACTTTAACACTTTTGTCTGAATTTGAATGTAATTCAGAATTATCCTTGTTTTTGTTCTGTATAAACATGTTTTACAAAAACCTCCTCTAAACTACAGCACCTAATTAAAGTTACAAAAACATTTCAAGCCTGTCAGTAAGTGTTAAGACTTATACAAGTTTTGTGAATAAGAATTTTGTTTACTTGTTCTTTTCTTTACTGTAGTACATTCCAAGCCAGTCAGTAAGTGATAAGACTTATACAAATTTTGTGAATAAAAATTTTGTTCACTTGTTCTTTTCTTTACTGTAGTGAGTTTGAAATTTAACTCTACAGTGCACTTACTAGTTTTGCAGGTACTTTTTAAAACATATCTGGCAGACATCAAAGTACTTGAATACTTGTAATGTCATTACAGCTGTTTGACAAGTACTTTCTATCCTGCAGGGACACATATACAAATGTATTGTTGCAACAACATTTATATAACTGGATCTACCTTCAGACTAGCAGTTGACAAAATAAAATGTTATTTAATTTTTCAAATTTACTTCAGTATGAGAACCTATATCCTAAGCTCAGAAACTTTTACAGTTACTCAGTTTCCTATATTTACTGCTCATACATCATGAAAAGGTTCCACACTGTGGTTTCAGTAATCATGAATTACCTAACACAGCATACTTATGTTGAAGAAACCTAACAAAACTACATGATTTAGACTTGCCTATCATTAAATTTAATTTTCTACAACTGTAATGTGCAAAGCTCATTACTTGCATAATTAGATGATCTTATAATGTTAACTAATTCATAATATTAACCAAAGAGTTGTAACTACTTTTATTTGTTTTTTGAAATAATCACGGTATTTAAAATAGCTTTTCTCTTATTTATTCATCTTTCAAAGGAAAGCATACAACATTGAACATTATATAGCATTTAAAATTGTTTAATAGTCCATTATTCCGAGCCTTTAACAATTGATTTAGTATTTATAATTTTAGTAAACACAAAAAAATACATACTTAAAATTATGTGAAATGTAAAAGTTAGGTATTCTTAATGTAAAATAAAAATGTCTAAATGATGTTGATAAGACAGTACATATTATAAATATGATACATTTTTCATTCACCTTTACTACAGATAACTTTCACATGTAACAACTTAACCAGATTCATTACAAATTATACTCATCAGCTGCATTTACAGAAGTTTAGTACATTACATTAAAAGAATTTTGAAGCCTCACTACATCATTACAGCCCATGTTACCCATCTTTTCATTCACTATCTAACAACTGTGCATCTCGAAAATAGCCCTGTAGCAGTTTTCACTGCAAAAGGCTCTGTTGTAAGGCTGTTATGTCCAAACCACACCACTCCTCCTTCTATGCTTTCTATAATCCACATAGTTTATAAGGATGATGGTTTCTTAGCACCTGTTCAACAGTACAATCACAAGAAAATCTATTGGTGTTGTTTCCACTGACTTGATCAGCATGTCTTTATATGGAATTGTGTGAATATATGTTTCATTCTTCAGCTGCTTTAGGTATATCATAGTTGAATGGCAGATATAACTGAAAGCTATATCTTGGTGAGCCCATACCCTGTTAATTTCGTTTCTAGACAGAGATCCTTCATGGGTAGGTTGTACACTGGTGTGTACAACAAATGCCACTGATCTTTGTATTTGTGGATTCTCACCTGTTAAAAGATGCTGCACTTTGCTTACTATGGCTGGAGTATAACTCACTGTAGGACTGTTTCTTGATGGGCCTGGTACCCCCAAGTTGATCTATATTCTTTTGCTTTACAATGCCATTAAGTACAAGGAATATCCCAATCTTGGAAATTTGAAATCTCTGATGACCTGAATACTTCATTATGATAAGAGTGCATCAATATTTTGTGTTGGAAAGTGTTGTTACATACCCTTCAAAATGTGATAAATTTCGGTAGCATCACACAACCTAAAATGCCAAACAATGTAAAACATCTAGTTATCATATAGGCTGTTCTATCATGACTTCATATTAGCTATGTTTCGCACGTGACTTATTGATTTGTATGTTCAAAATACTTTTAATATAATGTAATCAACCTCCTATTAGTGTTATCATACTCATGCTGAATAGTTGAAAACAAAGACATATCTTTAAACCTACTGTTTATCATAAAATAGAGAAACATAGTGTTGTACCTTTTCAGCCCAGAGTTTAGGAACTATATTGTTGAACAAACTGTTTGATACATCCTCCAACTGTTCAGACATTACTATTAAGCCTTTTACAGCCTTAAGGAGAGCTTTCAAACTACTGTGGATGACCATAAGAAGCTGGTTATACCTTTACAAAAACACATACATATTACATACAGTAGCAGCTATTTCTATGACTTTGTACAAATTATTTGAGGAGTCTAGTGAAATCCAACTATTTTAGTTTAAAATAATTAGAATTCTAAAGTATCTAGACTATAACAGTAGTAATTTTTTAATACTTAAAAAATGGCTTGTATGAATTGAACTCTAGATTTATTTTGCATTAGAAAATTCAAATTATATATCAGGTTATTGTTTGTAGCTAAGCACAAAGCCACACAAAGGGCTATCTGTACTCTACCCACCACAGGTATCAAAACCCAGTTTCTAGTGGTGTAAGTCATGTCAGGTTAACATATAACAGGTGTATTGTGCAAGGCAAACTTCACAATGCAGTGATAATATGCTATGGCTTTCAATCTTGAAAAAAAATGACAGCATATGATATATACTTATAGAATTGAAAACAATATTAATCAAATAATATGATATTTGAAAGTGAGAGAACACCCACCCCCTTTTTTACACAAGTTATTACACTGATTCAGCATAATTCAGACTCTAATTTTAAGTTTCTGTTTTAAATTTAAATTAATATGTACATCATTTTTTGTGAAATAAAATAGGCATGGCATGGTCTGGTGGTTAGGGTGCTTGACTTGTAATCTGCAGGTCATGGGTTTGAATCTCTGTCACATTATAATCTGATGGTCAATCCCACTATTCATTGGTGAAAGAGTAGTCCTAGATTTGGTAGTGGGTGATGTTGACTAGCTGCCTTCCCTCTAGTCTATCACTGTTAAATTAGAGACAACTAGCACAGATAGCCCTTGTGTAACTCTGTGTGAAATTCAAACCAAACCAAACAGAAATAAAATAAATAGGTATAAAATTTCAAAAATAGAATTAATAAATATAATACCAACATTTATGTGATAGATTTGAATACACCATTCATAATAAGAACCATTGTAATAATTACTATTTATTTATTTATTTATTTCTAATCCCTCCTGAACATATTATGATAAGAATTTGAGAAACTTTCTACCAACTTACCTTGAAACTTCCTGTACTAGAACAGTATTCATTGACTCCTCATGCTTATCTGGATACTTTTCAATGATAGGTTGCAAAGGCAGAGGCTGAGGAACTTGTTTCAAAATGCCAACTGCTGATGATTCTACTACCTATAATACAATTGAATACATTGTAATAACAAAACAAACTCTGTAAGTAGAAAATTTTTCAACTTATAACATAAACCCTTAATATTTGAATATACCTTCAATGCTCGTCCCACAGGTTTTAGAACAGCCTTAACCCCAATGTAATCATTACAAACTTGTAACGCCAATTAATATCACCCCTCCTACAAACAATAATTTTGGTTTTTATTAAGCTTCATTTTTAAACATCATTACAAAATTGTTCTAACTCATCTATTTCCTTCTGGATTTTAAATTTTAGATACAAACTCAAAAGTGTATCCAAAAATAAAATAATACATACAAATATAAATAAATACATCTGGAATTGTTCTTAGCAATTTTTCTGAAACTAATTATTGAATTTTATTACAGCAGGTATTAAACATAGTGTTCAGAATTTCTCAGTGTTTAATACAATGAAGAACATTTGATAAGCAATAGAGACATCAAAAACGAACTAAATCTGCAGCTGTAAACACAAATCCTACAATGTATTTTTTATATTGGAATGAGTACATGTTTAACCAATTCAAACCAATTAACTTTATTAAAACACATGTAATCAGTTATTTAAGAATCTTATAGCAGAGCTTATTGAGGTGCTCATAAACTAGTTGTTTGCAATAAATCATAAGTAAATAAAATTAATGTCATAAAGATATTAGGACAGAAAATACAGAAAAGGAATAAAATACATTATGTCTTACTGCTGTTCACAAGGTTTACTAAAGTATTATACTTAATGCAACATTTAGTGCTCCACCAACCCACATATTTCTTTCTTTCTGTGTAATGTTTACCAAGTTATTTTTCAACACATAGCAACATCACAAATTTCAAAAACATTTATGTTACAAAAATTTGTATTCATCATAAAAAATTAAAATGGATGTACCTTAACAGTTTGATAATAATTTAGAAAAAAATAAAGTGCAAAATGTATTATTAAATACATATGTAGAGTTTCATTAGTTCTTTAAATACATTCATAGAAACTCTAAATACTTAAAATTTATAGGTCTAAATATCTCAAAGTTATCTCATACTATACTTTATATATATAGATATTCTGTTCATTGCATGAGCCCAGCAAGAGTTCATCTCAAAGCATTATATAAAGTTCCTGAAAAAAGTACAACCGTTATTTATAAATGTGTCTTAACCCACCTTTTCCATTGAAATACCACCAGCAGAAGAACTTTTAGGCTGTAATACCAAAAGTGTGTTCAACAGCCTAAAAGATTCATTCCTTGCATAAGTGATGTTGGCATTATCATGCAAGCCAAAAATTTCTGGGCTATCGTTTATTGGAAGAGAGCGGATATATTCTATGAAATCCTGAAGAAAAAATATTTTAACATTAAGTTATTTATATGACAGAATGTTTACTATTATATTTGGAACCTTATACAATTTCTATAAATAAACATTTACCTAAAGTTAGTTCACATATTCAATGTGTGTGTTTCATATAAAGCAGAGTATAGGTAACATATACTCAGTATTACAGATGGGTTTTCACATTATATGCGAATAATTTGCATATTCAATCACCTTGCCTCTGACTATTCCTCATGGTCTCTTTTCTTACAAATCAGTTGAAATGTGGTAATTTGAAGTATAGATAGTGCTTAAAATTGACCACCTTCTCTAAGAGTTACATTACAGGACTTTCTTCTGTGAAGTTCTTCTAATATTTGATTATAAAAGCATGAAAGATATGAAATTACAGTATTTCAAAGAAAGAAATATCTAGTGTTAAACCATATCAAAAAAGCAACGAAGTAGATGATTCCAGCAGGAAAAAACAGGATGCCTCATTGGAGATAGTGAGGAAAGCTAAACAACTTATCATTAGAAATGGCCCAAGAACACAGCAGTCCATTACAGTTTGTAACAGGGGTCTTCTGTGGAACTTTAAGTAAGATATGTATTTCATATGGATTGAAGTCTAACAAAGTGACACAGAAGCCACGTTTGCAAGCTTTTCCCATAGCACATAGTCATATAAAAGACCAACTATATGAGTAGAACCTCACATATGACATATTGGATGAACAACATATCTATTTAAGAGCCTGCAAAAGGTACAGCAATTTCTCATTATCCTGCCAATGATACAGGATTTAAAAGTGGCATAATGTCACAAAAGTTTTTCTAAAATATTTATGTCACTTACAGGTTATACATATAGTAACAATTAGTACTAACTTCCAATTAAAGCAAGATAAACATACAGAAAGTTAAGGAAAATGCCCAAGTGAACTCTGCATAATATCATAGCTAATTTGCTGACACAACTATAATACAAGAAAATATCAACTTGTTTGAACTGAATGTATGAATTCATTGACACAAAGCATCTAGCCACATGTTTAAGTCAACAAGCCAATTCATCTTCTAGATGTAAGTACAAAAAACGAATTCATGTAATATCATATAGACATTCCCCATGGATTTCTATGATTTTGGGAATTCAAACAGGCTTTTGGAGGCTATTGTCTGCACACAGTTGTTAGATTTGGGAAGCATATAAAAAAGTTAGAAGGAAATTTTGACATCATTATATTGTGCAAAAGCCTCCTGCAATTGGAATTGTGCTGCAGAGCAATAGTCCATTAAAAACTACAATGTAATTGGTGGAAAAAGGGGCTGTAAAGCCTAAGCACTGAATCTTGTATTTTTACCATAAATCATGAACACCCCTCTGTAATACATTTCTATAAAACATCACAAGTGCATGATATTCAAAGTATCTGAGTATGCAATTTTACAAGTAAGAATTTTTTGTGTCTTTAAAAGTACGTGCAAATAGTAATGTGGTTTGGTAAAGTAACACTTGAGACCAAATGGTGAGCTATTAAACAACAATAACATGAAACATGAAAATATGTGTTTAGCAGACTCACTTAATTACAAAAGAAAAGAATACACAGAACTTTTAACAAATAAAAACACTTTAATGCTTACAACAAGGATGAAATGAAACTGCAACAATGCATGCGATGACAGAAATCTAAAACAAAGACTAATTTGCATAATTCGCATTTTAAGTTAATTGTCTATCCTGTTGGGGATTTCTTAGAGATATGCTTACTGCACAAATATAAAAGCAAATCTGAAAATTCTGGCTGGCTTTGCTTAGAGTTGAATTACAATCTTTTAACTCTGTATTAGTTCTCAGAATGCCATTTCATTTACAACCTGTTCAATCCAACACCAGCAAGCTAAATACATAATATCTCTATCTACTCAAGTCACTGAAAGACCAGCAAACCCCATCCCCCATGCTAGTTTAGGTAATCATCAATCATAACACCCACATATGAACATATACATAGCTACATACTCCTCAAATCAGATTTACAGTGCATGTTAAAGACCCTAAGTCTATGCTTACAGCTATCAAGGTCAGAAGCATCTTTCCAACTTGAAACTAAATACAAAAAAATAGATTAGAAGTTTTAAAAAATTATCTGAACAAAAATATCTTCAGATTCTATGTTACAGAAGGCAATATTTAATGATATACATTATCAAATTGATTAAATTTCAAAAGCAGAACTCTTATAACTCATTACTGAATTGGCGGTACACCTTCACTAATTTTTGTAATCTTCTTACAAATATAAACACCATTTTGTCAACAAAGATGAATACCTTATGTTCTGCCTCTGGACTTAATGGATGAAAAATTCCTGATTCTGAATATTTGTGATTTGGTGCTAAGACTTCAGGAGTATAGAAATGAGCTAATATATTTGCAATACATCGTCGATCCCAATCATCAGTGACTCTTCCACCATAATTGATTTCACCAGCAGTGTAACTAAGAACCTAAAAAAAAACATTAATATACCAATACCTGAAAGGGACAACAAAGATATCAAAGTATTACAACTTCTTTTGTAAAAAGATTCAACTTACATTTTCAAAGCAAAATATGCTTATTTACACTCAATCTACCCAAAATACAAAAAACACGTATAAGATACATACACTTTTCTCTAAATAAATAAATACATATATATATATATATATTATCTATCTAAATATATATGACTTTGTTTACAAACAGCAAGAAGTTAGAATTATGCAAACTTAAAAGATTACCAAAACTTTAAGTTTCTTATCTGTACAGTATCAGTTGTTTAAGTTAAGTTTTTCTACAATTTTTTCATTCTGAAATGATAGTTACTTTGGATATGAATACAGAATTTTTTAAAATTCAATGGCAAATTTTAGTTTTAAGTTTCAACTGACATTTTGATATTATAGATTTAATTTTTCATGTTAAATGTGTGGAGTGGCAAATGAAAAATGTTTTTGTTTATGTTCTCCTTTGGAACCAAACTTAGCTTTGAGGTTTTTCTTTAGAAGAGAAGAGCTCTGCCTTTCTTTTTGGCTTCAAGAAAATTTTTTGAGGTAGTGAATAAACATATATAAATTCTATGACACTCAAAATACATACAATGGGCTATCTGATATAAGATATTTTACTACTACTGAATTGATACAGTCATCTAACACATCTTGCTTAGACAAAAAACACATATACACTTATAGTATGTGTTCAGTGTATGCATCCTGTAAAGTAACAATGTTGTTTAAAATGAGTACTTTATTTAAAAAATTACAAATTCCTCTACTTTTATCACAAAATTCCTTTAAAGGGTAAAACTATAAATAATTATTTTTCTTTTTTTTTGTTAAACTCAACATAGCTTTTTCTGTATCTTGCAGTAAACTTCATACAAAAAATAATAAAATAAACAACACATTAACATGCCGAGAGCTTAAATTCTTCTCAGTAACAAATAAAACTTAACAGTGACAGCACTGCAAGTAAAGTAGTTTATTATCCTTTTACCTCTGAGCTACACTTTTAATTTTTCAAGTAAATTTGAATGTAAGATATACTTTAGAAATTCAAACTAGAATTAATACACAATATTTCTATATATTGAAGACATATATTTATTCAAAATTTAGCAAACCTTATATGGAACATCATCATATTCAAGTAGAAACATTTGTAACTGGCTAATACACATTTGGAGGTCTCCATCCATAAATTCATAAGGTATATTGAAACCAAGAGAACCAAACTTTCTTCTTTCCAAAGTGATGGCATGGAATAAGCAGAGAGAAAGTAAAAGTGGTTTGAACTGTGAAGTCTGCACAAAAAAGGATCAATAAATAATTCATGAAACACTAAAGAATTTAATATACAAATGGATTTTTTTGCAACTGATTTTAGAAGGAAAGAAAATTCATTAAAACAGCTTTCAGGTTTCAAGAAGTAAAACAACTGACAAGGATACCAGTAACAAGAAATAAGTATATGCTTCTAAATGAGGAATAAGAGGCAATACTAATGACAGACTACTTCACCTTTGATCCACAAGATTCTAAGAAGTTACTGGTCAAACCACCATATATTCTTAACAAATTAGCTTTAATTCCTTGGGGAGGTTCCACAGTCATCTTGGATCCATTTTGCAAGATAGAAACTGGAAATTTGGAGCTAGGCATGCTAGTCAACCAGACACGAAAGTCACGGTGCACCTAAGATAATAATAATAATTTATTCTATGTACATTTTTACAGAAAAGTTTTCAAGCTTCATTCTGTACTAAAACATGACTTTGTAACATGCTTATTAGTTAGTTGCTCAGTTGTTTTAGGTTGAAATTTTAATTTACACCAGTAGGAGTTTCTACAGATTTTATACTTATACAATAAACTAAACATTAATTATATTTTTCCCAGAGAGCATAGTTGTATTGTAACAAACTTGCATACTAATTGCATAGAATAAACATATTTTATTTCAGTATATGCTAATACATATATTTAGACAACTCAAAATACTGAGTTCTTGTATCATACTAAACTGTTCATAATGGACACAAGGTAGTTAGTTTGTGGTCATGAAAAGCATGTATTAGGGTCTTATTGGCCTAACTTCACATCAAAATTATTGAGATTGAGCTCAAGACCAAATTGGCTTGGACTAGTCAAAGCTGTATACTAGTGCCAATGATTCTGTGAGCTAAGAAATATATCTATAAGAGGATGGGACAGCCAACCACAGATTAATATCCAGAGGCTCACATGAGAAGTTGATTTCAGGCAGTGATCAATGCTTCTTAAGGATATACTAGCTATTGATAATTCTGATGATGTTAGCACACAGGATCACATACAAAAGTTGTAATGGTTTTCAAACGAGACCCAAAACTCAAGCACTTTCGAATAGTTCACTATTCTTCTTCAGGAGAATAAAGGGTGATGTTTAATATAGTTAGTCTTGAGAACTAACCATTCATAACCTAGAATTGTTGGTGTCAGGTTTAGTTTGTGCCAAAGAGGTGTGTACAGTACATAAAAGACTTATGTGTGATAATAGTTATAAAGATAAAATAAAATAATGGCAAAAGGTGATGGGAAATAGGGAAAATGATAATGTGACACAATATATAGGAAATAATACCGATATAGAAAAATTAAAGCATGAATAATACTAATAATGTAAAGTAACTTTAATTATGAATTTATTTTTGAAAATCTTTTCAGAGGCATACAAAGGTCAACACTCCTGGGATCGAGATTAATGCCATTTCACGTTACAGTATTTAATAGTGCTATCCCCTAAGCTTCTTTAATTTCCTTCTTTCTGTAACATGTAAAATTTGTCTCTATACCCATCAGTTTAATGTCTTAAAGAGAATGTCCAGGCATATTAAAGTGTTTTGTGACCAGAAGATCTTTGTTTGTTTTGATTGCTGATTTGTGGATATTAAAACGTTCCTGTATAGTTGTTTTAGTTTGACCTACATATTGGAAGTTGCATTTTCAGCATTAGATTAAATAAATAACTTTTTTGTAGAGCAGGTTACAGGTTCAGTGATCTTAAACTGCATGAACTTATAGGTTTGGCATCACTTGCTATTGCAAAGATGACTTCCACCTGGTGTCGACTTAAAGTTGACTTCAGCATGAACTAAGTGTGAATGCAAATTTTATTTTTTCTGAAATAAATGACAGGAACTTCTGTGAAAATGGATTTTAGTCAATCATTAAGTTGAAGGAGGTAAATGTATTTTTTTAGTACTGAGGGTAGGTTTTTAGTTTTGGGCAATAGGTAATAACCATTGGAACATGAGAATAATTTGTTTTAGGTAATTGTTTCAAGGTGGTAATTGTGTCAAGCTGTTGAGTGATAATGTTTTGTTTATAACCTCTTTCAGTCATAGCCTGTTTCAAAGAATTAATGTGATGGTCATAGTTCTTACCGTCAGAGCACATCTTCTTTAATCTAAACACTTGATTGAATGTGATATTGAATTTGGTGTGTAGAAGGTGACAGCTTTGAGTATGTAAGTATAGTAGTATATCCATTGTTCTTTGATTCAAATCAGTATGTAGAACACCATCCTTTAATGTTAGGTTTACATCTAAGAAACTTATTTGAGTCGTGGAGTAATCAAGAGTAAATTTAATAGAATTGTGGAAGGAGTTAGCATGTCTATAAAGGACAGTAATGAACCTTCATCTTCTACCCAAATTAAAAATTTTTTTATCAATGTAGCATCTCCAAAACATTGGTTTATTGTCTGTGCAACTTTCCAATAGTCTCGTCTCTAAGTCTCTCATAAAAATGTTGGCATAATTTGGTGTCATCTTGGTGTCCATAGCTGTGCTTTTTGTTTGAATTATTAAATTCAAAACCATTGTGTAAGTACTAGTTCAGCTAAGTCTGTAATAATTTGGGTGTTGGGTTTGGCTAGTTTTAGCAGAGAAGATTCTAGGGCTATTAGGCCTTCATCATGGGGATTGTTTGTGTAGAGAGGAGGAAGTTTTCTGTTGATATTAATGTTAGAGATCACGTTTAGAAAATTTGTCGTGACTTTAATGTACGATGTCAAAAGTGAGGTGATATCTTTGATGTGGTGATCAACGTAAGCAGATAAGTTTCCAGTAGGCATACCAAATTGTTGAGTTTGTGTACTTCTAATAATGTGTAAAAGCAATCTGGAACTGGGTGTTTAGGTGAAAAGAACTGTAACGATTCACGATTGATATGTTGGTTTTTCTGTAAGCTACACAGCATATCTTCAATAATTTGAACAAATTGTGGTGTGGGGTCCAAATCTACATTTTATAGTGGTTTGTGTCATAAAGTTGTTGGTAAGCCTTGTTGATGTAGTCAGACTTATCTTGAATGACAATGACATCGCCCTTATCAGCTGGTATAATAATAATTTTCTTTTCATGTTTCAGTAAAATTAGAGCAATATGTTCACTATAAGAGAGATTGTTTCATATTTTTGAGACTGAATTCATAGCTTGAATTACTTCATTTTCAACTGCAGTAATAAAATTCTCTAGATGTGATTCCCTGTTGGCTGGGGATAACCATAAGTTTTCTTTAAACTGTCAGTTGAAATCACTTCTTTCAGTAGTTTGATTGTGAAAAAATTCTTGAAGTCTTAATCTATGTGTAAATTCTTGTAGGTTGGAAATGACTTCAAGGCTACCTATGTTTTTATTGGTATGAAAAAAATTAAGACCTTTATTGAGAAATTTGTGTTGAGTTTCAGTTAGTGTTTGAGCGGACAGATTGATGACATTGGAAGTGTTCTTGAGTTTGGGTTGATCGGATGCAAAAGTGAGTAATTTAGTAGAGTCAGAAGTATTAGGTCGTCAAGAAATTAATGTCGTGTTTTGGAATACTTTCATTACCCCCCCCCAAAAAAACGTATGTCACACATAATAGTTAAACGAACCACCTAAATGTCACATTAGAGTAGCCTATATAATGTGTAAAGCTTAATTACTTTAATCCCTTATAATGATGGCACACGATTGGACACATATTCAGCATGTAATGCTGTTTGAATACAAGAAGAGAAACAATGCCTCTGTAGCCACAAAGAATACCAAAGAAGTTCATGAAAATGTTTTGAATGGTCGTAAGTGTCAATGATAGTTCAGCAAATTTCGTTCAGGTGACTTTAGCCTTCAAAACTGTGATGGAAAGGGCCAACATGTTGGAATTGATAATGATGCTCCAAAGATGCTTGTTGAGTCTAACCCAAGGCAACACACTCATTAAATGGTCCTGAAATTGCATGTCTCTCATGAAACAATATGTAAACATCTAAGGAATATGGGAAAGAAGGTGTTTGGGTGCCTCACGAACTCTCCGATGATCACTGTTTCCAACGTGTGAATGTTGCTTCGTCTCTTCTGGCACGTAATGCGTGTGAACCATTTTTGGACAGAATTGGATTCTCTATGTGAATATTAAATGCCAAAAAGAATGGGTCAATTCTAGAAAAAAACTACTTCTGACCCCAATATCTAAACACCATCCGCAGAAAGTGATGCTCTGCATTTGGTGGGACATCGAAGGAGTAATTCATTTCAAACTCCTCAATCCACAGTGATCTGTCAATGGAGAGATCTATAGTCAGCAATTGGAATGTTTAAATAAAGTCCTTCATCAAAAATGCCCTTCACTTGTCAATCAGAAAGGTGTTCTTCTTTTTTCTTCATGACAATGCACATTCACATGTGGCATGTTTGACACAATACAAGATTATTGAGTTGGGTAAGGAAGTTTTCCCCCATCCACCATATTCTCCAGATATGGCACCATCAGATTACCATCTTTTTTATTCACTTCAACTCCATTATAATGGGTTAACATATGCAAATGTGGAAGGTGTTAAAGAGGACATCGACAAGTTTTTTTTCCTTCAAAGCCAAGTGATTTCTTTAATCAGGGCATTAACAACCTGGAAAAGCATCATCAATAAGAATGGAGACTATTTCATTTAATAAATGTTTTGTTTTGATATATAAGCTGTTTAGGTTTTTTTCATCTAAAAAAAAGCGACATTAATTTCTTGACTACCTAACAGAATCTATTTAAGGAGACAGCTCAATGTACATATTTACATTGTTGGAGTTATTAATCATCGGCTCACAGATGGTATTAGTATGAGTTTGTTTAAAGTTAGTATTTTGTTGTGAACAAATATTATGGTTTGGATTGGAGAAACCTTTATCCTTATGTGAAAGATCAAGATGTGTTTTTTATTGGACTTTATCATGATTTTCAAAAGTCTTCTTTGTTTTGTTAATAAATGCATCAAGTTTCTGTTGTTCAGTAGGAAAAATTGTGTTCTCAGATTGTCTACTGTGGATTTGCAAAATTCTTGTGTAAGTGAGGTGGGATGAAGGATTTTCTGCCATTGCAAACAAAACAGTTTGTCATTGGCTCCTATGGTAACTGGTGGATTCAAATTAAGGGATTTAGGTATAGTTTGATTCTGTAAATGCTGTCCTAGCACATCAGCATGGTGCACGTACCTCAGTCATTTTTCATTCAGTTTTCTGAGTAGTTTAAAAGTCTTGCTAGAGTTTAGAACAGACTGCACTTGGGCAGCTGTGTTGAAGGAAGAGCTTATTTCAAGGCTAATACATGGTTTTGCTTTGTGACAGGGAGAAGGTTCAGGGTCTGTTAGGTTTAGAAAGTCATCAGGTTTAGGGCTTTGTGAAAGATTGTTGGGTGAAGGGTGATGTTTTCCTTCAAAGGTTGTAGAAGATTCTGCATATGGAAGAAAAAAAGCCTCAGAAGTTGTGGAATTTGGAAGGTTGTCAAAATAATGGGTTACTAGACAGTTGCTAGGAATAAAAGTGGAAGCTTTAAAATCTCTGTAACTACTGCATTTAGGAGAAAGGGAAGTAATGGCAGAAAAGGGTTTTGTAAGTGTTGAAGTGTGACCTACGGAAGTATCAGAGTTTGTGAATGGGCAAGATTCTTGGGTTGTGTATCAGATTTAGAGCTTAGGAAGAAGTTTTTAGAAACAGAAGTGGAAGCCATAGCTTCTGCATAAGTGTGACATTTAGAAGAATGGACACATCTAATTTCAGGAGAAGCAGTGATAGAAATGGGTTTTGGAATTGTATTGGATGTGTGGCATACAGAGGTACGACAAGGAGTATTTGGTGGATTTAGTTTGGATTGTTCAGTGGTTGTTTGTAGGCAAGGGAGAATATAGTTAGCGATAAAGAATCATAAATTACAGGATATGGAATCAATTCCTTTGAAGAAAAGGTGTAAACCATCTTTTGCTGAGAAATGTGTCCTATTTTCAAGTTTAAAGTTGGTGTTGTAAAGGAAGGATAAGCATGAGTTATGTTGGCAGAGGTCATGTGCAAGGGCATTAAATTTGTCAATTTTCTGGTTTAAAGAATCAGTAGTACAGGTCTGTCGTCTTAGAGATAAATCAGTATATCTATTAACATCATGGTAGATGATGCAAAAGAAACAAATATGAAGATCAGCATGTTGAATCAAAATATGTACTAGTAAGGTTTGTAGGTCATTAAAACAGTCATGAGCTATCGTTCTATGTTGTTTTAGGTTGTTAATTCCAAAGTGAAGAATTAAGTTATTTACAGACTGTGACAGTATAGTTACAGTGTCTAAAAGGTCAAGTATGGTGGCTCCACTAATTGATTTAATTCAAAAATGTTGGTCGTTATTGTAAGAAAGGTGATGATGGAGGAATTTAATAACAGAATCTCCAAAAATGGCAATGTATGGTGAAAGAAAAGGTAAATTACCTTCAGTAAACCAGGGTCCATGAGTGGAATATAAATTCTGATTAAGAAGTTAACACACAGGATCACATACAACAGTTGTAATGGTTTTAAAATGAGACCAATGCAAGAAATGAACAAATTTTCCAATAAAGACAACCAAAAGCAGTTTAAAATCACTAAACCCATAACCTGCTCTAAAAAAACGTTATTTACTTAATCCAATGCTGAAAATGCAACTTCCAATATGTAGGTCAAACTAAAACAACTATACAGGAACGTTTTAATATCCACAAATCAACAATCAAAACAAACAAAGATCTTCCAGTCACAAAACACTTTAATATGCCTGGACATTCTCTTTAAGACATTAAACTGATGGGTATAGAGACAAATTTTACATGTTACAGAAAGAAGGAAATTAATCAAGCTTAGGGGATAGCACTATTAAATACTGTAACGTGAAATGGCATTAATCTCGATCCCAGGAGTGTTGACCTTTGTATGCCTCTGAAAAGATTTTCAAAAATAAATTCATAATTAAAGTTACTTTACATTATTAGTATTATTCATGCTTTAATTTCTGGTAATATAATATACTATTGGTATTAATTTCTATAAATTTTTCACATTATCATTTTCCCTATTTCCCACCACCTTTTGCCATTATTTTATTTTATCTTTATAACTATTATCACACTTAAGTCTTTTATGTACTGTACACACCTCTTTGGCACAAACTAAACCTGACAACAACAGCTCTAGGTTATGATTGGCCAGTTCTCAAGACTAACACATATTGAACATCTGTGCCTATATATATTTCATTACACTCATTAAACATAAACCTTTATTCTCCTGAAGAAGAATAGTGAACTATTCAAAAGCGCTCGAGTTTTGGGTCTTGTTTGAAAACCAATACCAGCTATTGACAAAACCTTCTTTATTATTTGTTTTCTGATCAATTTAAAAGCTTGTCCACATACTTAAAATATCCCATTTTTAGCATCATTCATTTCCATACTATGGAAATGTGAGTACAAACTGTATTCTAAAAACAGGAAATGGAAAGTAGAAATATCAATTGGTTACTAGAAAACTATTATAGTAATCTTGGAAAATGGTCCTTAGCAAATTTGAGTTTTGATTATATATTTAGATTATATCTTTGAATATTAACTTTATTTTGGTCTATGTGTTCTATAAGTCTCTCAAGAGTTGGCATCCAGCTTGGAGCAAGATGGCAGTTCTGGAAGAATACCCAATACCCTTTTTCTGATGCATTTTGGAATAAAGCCTCAGCTCTGGGTCCCTGTAAAAAATAGAGTAATCTATTATATTCAAATGCCACTTGCAATCATAATGGAATATGTTTATGAACTCCTTATCTCATTTTAATAGATACTATTCAGTTATTAGCATTTGGTTAAAATTCACTTGGTTTAATACATTTCAGTATTGCATTTTTTGACTAAAACAACAAATTGATTGTTAGAAGTGTTGTTTAAAAGCTGGAAACCACATTGTAGTATACCAATTGATAAAATTATTTCTCTGAAAAAAAAAAAAGTACCACATGAATTTCTTAGAGTGCAAACAGAACAGTGAATGTAATGAAAAAAAATGAAAATCCTAAAAATCAGAAGTTCTCATCTACACATATGAGAGATAATGACACAAAATATTAAAATGATTTCAAACACACAAAATACCACAAAACGTTGTTTAATTAAGATTTTGAATTTTCAAATTACCACATATGAATCCTCTTAGAAGGTGAGATGTGAAAATACTTTCTTAATCTAAATACTCAATATACATATTGAACAAAAATATTTGCTTTAACTATTTTAAAAACTATATATACATAATTTCATAAAAAAAACATTTCAATGTAAAAATAGGAAATTAAGATAACTATGAATAAATTTGCATAGTTCATTAATATGAAATACAATTCAAAAAGTCAGGCAGAGCTAGACAATCACTTATTACTGTATGATATTTTACATTTGAGCCATGGCAATGAACATAATTGGAAAATATAGTCAATAATTATCAAAGCTGGAATAAAATAAGAGAAACAAACCACGAAACACTGCTACCTGACTTTCAACTGAAGATACAATGCTCAAATTTATTTTTTAATAAACAGCGTGATCAGGGCTACCGAGAGCTATTATGGGCCCCAAGGAAGAATTGGTATGTGCCCCACCTCCAAATAATAATAAGGCCATGTACGTGCATAAGTGATTAAAAGCGTGATTAATATTTACTTAAACGTTTTGTTTTGAATTTCATATACTTTTTTTTTGCTGCTCTTATGGGCCTCTGGTGACCAGTAGAGTGTGGGAAATATCCCTGTCCACCCCATATTTTCAGTGGGTCTGAGCATGATAAGTGAGATGCAGATGGATGATATGCACAGCGATTTTTTACCTCTAGAAAAATATTATTTTTACCTGGCCCTGTCCAAGAGAGATGGAGCTGAGTTTCTTAATAAACTTCTCTGCAGCAAACTTGTGAAGACTAGCAGCTGGATCAGTACCTTGTGATAGGATAAATATCAGAGGAGTAGATGGAGATGAATCTTGAAACACTTGGCTTAAATCTGTAGTCTGAGAAGAAAATGATCTGGTTAATTACTGAATAACAATATTGTTTAGCATTTTTTAAAATATATCAAATTTGTACAAAAAATGTTTATTGAATTAATATGTTATTCTGATAACAATCTATCAGTTTTCTTTTAAAATGTCTTTATGATCTATTCTTTTTAAAAAAATACTCTTCCAAAAACAAATAAAAATATTGTTATATATGGATTATATCCATATTAGAATGTTCCCAAAAACCTCATTCTCTATTTCTTTGACTGAAGGACAACTGAAGACACAAAATTGTTGAGCCCCATGAAAAAAAACCCAAAAAACAATGGTTATTTTTCATGTAGACTTGTGAAGCAAAGAGCAAAAACACTTTTAAACTAAACTATAAAATATTAATCAGATTCAGAAACTTTAGGTTATTTTGATGAATTTCGAACTTACTTAAAATACATCAACAGTTAGTATGTTTAATAAGGTCTATGACAAGCATTACATTCAATTTCCTTACTAGGCTACACTCATTATATTAATTTACATTAAACTTATTAACAAGTTATTAACCATCTGTTTATGAGCTCAGTCAGATTCATTAACCCAGTATCTAAGGTGCTATACATACTAATGTTTAGTTCAACTTTAAATATATTACATGTATTTCCTAAAATTTGGCATGCTTTAATAAAAATTACAAGTCTGTTGGAAAGTATTCTTACTAAAAATTTGTCAGTTAGTTTCCAAAACCTTTAGAGTTAGTCTGATTGAAAGGTGATTTTCATAGTATGAATAAAAATATCCCTTTCCATATAACTTATAACCCTATAACTTGAGTGCTTTCAAACTGGAATTCCCCTGAAGAAGAAAGGTCGACCTTTCGAAAGTACTCGGGTTATAGGGTTTTTATTCATTTCTATGAAGACTACTTGAACCTACATGTTTTTATAACATCATGAAAATACTAAGTTGAAAAACATTTAACAAAATGTAATACCATTTTTTACACTGCAATGACTGCAGTATTTGTCAGAAAGTATCAAGTTGGTAATCTTAAAAGTTTCATCTCCCAACTTTTTCACATTTGTTTTCTTTTAATTTTATGGTTTTATTACTGTGCTTTGCAGATATTCTCACATCAAATGCAATAAATGACAGTGGGAGCACATTAGCTACTTACCGTATAGCTAATGTAAATAACATATGATTTCAGTATGTCAAGTTATATACATGTTTATGAAGTTTTAGACATTTTATTTTACAGAAATTCTGTCAGGCTAAGCTGAGTAGTTTCTAATATTTACATTTTAGTGACATTTGTTAAAAATATATTAAAAATAAATAATATCACAAAAAAAGTATTGTACTTACTTCATACTCATTTGCACTCAAGTAAAAGTTTAAGTCCCACAAATTTGGGTGTTCAAAAAAAATCATGTGCATTTCAGATACGCATTTTTGAATAAAAAAATACATCAGCCACTAAAACAGAATCTTAAAATCACTATAATTTATCCAGCTTTTCAAGTAAGATATAAATAGGTTTAAAAAATTCTTTAAGCATTGAAAGGAGTAAAATATGATTACCACAAACCAAACAATTCTGCTTATGGTTTATAGTGAAAAACTAAATAATGACCTATAAAACTTATGTAGAGAAGAACCTACCTTTATATTAGTTACTGGCAAATAACCCGTCAAAAATGACAGGGCAAGTACTACCACTCCCACCCCATAATATACCCTAACCTCACATTTCATAGCTAACTGAAGTAAATAAATTTTGCGAAATCAAGCTTGACCAACAAAGAATCAGAAAAGTGCAGTCAAAAATTGGTAAATTCCTTTGTGAGCCAACATGGCATATTCAGAGAATAATTATTCCTAAAAATCAGTTAGATTAACAACTCCTAATATATAGAAAAGCAAGTGCAGTTTGATAACACTAGGTTACAACAATATCTTTTGTGTCATGTCACTTAATAAAAAAAGTATAACCTAATATTGTTGTTAGTCTATGTGCTGAAAGTATAAAATGAAATGTATAAACAACACTGGAAAAATATTTGTTGATTTCTTAATTTAGAATCTCCATTGATTAAAGAGGTTTGTTTTTTTATTAAAAACATTGGTGACATATCAGAAAATATCTTAATTTAGAAATGATTGAAGTTTAAAATTGAATCAATATTTTTACTTTCATGATAAATTTTATGCACTTGGCTCTAGGTTAGATGATCCCACACTACAAATTTACTTTAGGCTTATTATACCAACACTCACTACACTTATAAGGTTTCATGGCATCCCCCTCACAGCCCTCTTGCACTCCTGTCACTAAAATTGTAAGGGGCAAACAGTAATCGAACTACTCTATCTGGATAAATGCATTTAGGCCTTTATTACTCCTCCTATTTTGAGAAATCAAGTGTGATGTGACACATACTGGCTTTTATATAAGTTAGACAAACATATCCATCAGCTATGTAAAGTTGATTAGTAAACAATCTCAAAAGTCAGAGGTAGAGGGAAAGGGCTTCTCTGGTGGGTTTGACACATAGATAACTTAACAAATTAAGAAGGTAGAAGGTTCAAGTTTTATATTCTTGCTTGTAATTATGTATAATTTGTGTTTCTAACCAGTTGGAAATATTTCTTTTTGAAATCAAAGAGCTAAAAACTTATGTAACATAATTTTTGAATTTTTAACTATGTTTTTATTCCAAGTTTATAAACATAAATTTATTAACAAAGTTGTTCAATTAGATTTTGAATTTTACACTGTAAAAGGACATGACTGTGCAAAAGAGCCTGGCTCAGATTTAAAGGGTACAAATATTTTAAATGTTTCTAATTTTTAAACAAAATTACTTAAATAGTTAATAACTTACCTGAGGCTCAATAAACTCCCGACCCAAATTTTTGATAATGAAGTCTTGTATAGCTTCAGTAATGGCATCTGCTCGTATACACCTAAGTAACAGTAGTTTCTGAAAACTATCCAAACTTCTTTTCCATGGTTCTGGAAGATCTTCACTGTTATAAAAAATAAGTCATGGAATTCTAGTTATAAATATGAGATTTGCTTTCCCAAAAAACTTTAATTTTCATATAATGGATTTATCACAAAAGCAATTTTCCACATTTAAAACCATCTAGCCTTTAAGTATTGGCCCGGCATGGCCAGATGGTTAGGGAGCTTGACTCACAATCTGAGGGTCGCGGGTTCGAATCCTCATCCCATCAAACATGCTCGCCCTTTCAGTCATTGGGGCATTATAAAGTGATGGTCAATCCCACTATTCGTTGGTAAAAGAGTAGCCCAAGAGTTGGCAGTGGGTGGTGATGACTAGCTGCCTTCCCTCTAGTCTTTCACTGCTAAATTAGGGACGGCTAGCGCAGATAGTACTTCTGTACGCGAAAATTCAAAAGAAACAAACCTTTAAGTATTAAGCTTTGGTTTAAGTAACCTATCATTCTTAAACTTGGACTGAAAGTAAACTCTCACCCTAATGTTTGACTGAAAGTGATCACCCCACCTTATGTTCAGACTTAGAGTAACTTATCCCTAAGTTTTTAATATAAGTCATTTCTATTACTGGGCTCAGACTGAAACTAACCTTCAATTCCTAAACACACACAGAAAGGGACCACATACTCCTAGCCATGGACTGAAAGTAATTCTGGACCTCTAAACTAATACTGGAAGTAATCTATAATTTAGAAGCCAATAATAATAAAAAAAACTAATTTAAAACCATAAGTTTGAACAGAAAAATCAAGCTTGAACTGAAAGCAATTTACTAATCATTATGCTATTGACAGAATGTAAACTCAAAACTTTAAGCTTGAACTGAAATCAGCTTTCCAACCCTAACAATGAAGTGAAAGTAACTGCCCAATACTACAGGTAAGCTTGAAATGAAAGAAACCTTTTACTCTAGGCTTTAAGTGAAAGTAATTTATCTCTGAGTATGATGCATAACAAAATTTAATCTCTGTCTGATTCAAATCTTCATATAATACTCATGTAATACGCAAGCATATATACATATATAAGTGTGTGTATTTTTCTACCACTTTATTCTAATATAGAATTTTTTGCAATCTGTCAGTTATTCAGGCATATGTACACTCTTAACATAATATATGGTCTACCCATGGTGGGAATAGCTGTAAAGTTGCACACTATGTATGAATGAGGCCAGTAGTTTTCTCCAATGGTAGGTCAGGTGATATCTTGAGGTTACAATCTTTCTTATTTTCAACTTGGAATGACCAATCACATGAGTAGTGCTATTCATTATGGGCAAGTCTAACAATACCATTTTAACTTGGTAATGTGAGGTTTATTCAACCTGGAAAAAGATTTCAACAAAGACAGTCTGGAGAGAAAATAGTCTATATCCAATAAAAGTGACCATCTATCATATCAAGCAAGTACACAAACTATGTTTGTGTTTGAATACAGATTGTTCATTTCATTTTGATACAACTGTGTCTAATTTATTTATTTCTCACAAACTCACTTAAATAATTGAGATAACTCAGAATTATTTTCTAATAGATATCTTGGTTGAATCTCCTTTTTTATGTAGATCTATCTTATTGCTCTCATGGAAATTGGCTTGGCCTTAAAAACCACAGAATGGGCAAAAAAAGAAAAGAAAATTTGAGTCTTATTTTATAAAAACTTCATTCTTCAGAAAATAGAATTTTCCACAACTTGAAGGATAATGAAGGGAGTTGTTAGGTCTAGTAGAAGTCCTCTCTTGTACATTGGAGTTTTGCCAATGCTACAAAGGTCTCTAACTTCTTTCTCATTAATTCAATGATTCATGAAAGAGGGTTACTGATGCCTGGTGTATCCAGAATGACTGTTCATGCTCTCTTCCTGAGAATCAATCTCAGTAATGATAGTTTGGTAACTTGTGAGTTTTGGACAGAGTGGGTTGATCTGTAAAGAAATCCCAGGCTTTAACCAGCCATAGTAACCTAACCCCAACTCTGGTTGAAGCCATTTGATAATTGTTAGGATAGATTGGAGGTATCATTGGTAGATGAAGTCTGCCAACAGGTGGTGTTCCACCTGCTGGTGAGCCAGCAGGTGTAACATGGTGTTAATGGTGAATCGTGGGCCAGTAGTGAGCCATTATGAGATTGGAATTTCCTGCCATGGGAATGCAACAAGCCTTTTATTTCCCCTCCATTGGAATTGGCTGATTCCAATGCATCTCTCATGCAAATCATCATGCATCAACCCTTGATCAATAAGAGTGCAACAAACTCTCAGAATGCATGTGACTCCCTCTATTCAATTCTACTGAACTGTCACTTTGAGTTTGGGCAGAAGATTGAAGCACTGGTTTTCAGTGGGGAGGAAGGGTGAGGGGAGGTAAGTACTTATCAGAAATATATTTTCAGTATACGAAAATTATAACTTCCGATACGGTACATTACCTCCTTTCACATAAGTAGATAGAATCCCACATTGAATAGGTGGAAGGACCAGTGCAGGGGGAAAGAAAGAAGAATCCTTTGAAAGGATCTGAAGGACACTCCCTAAGAGAAGATAGTCAGATTCTAAGATCTGATGTGGGGGACTGCACCACTTCTGAACCAGGTATACTATTTGCCCATCGTAGAAAGATGTCGCACATACGGGAGAGAACTTAGGTTGGATAGTGATCTGAACCATACAATATTTATACAACTCTATCTCATAAATTATAAAAGTGGCTAAATTAAAAGCATGTGTCCTAGGTGTAGAGTGGCTATGGCACGACAGTCCATACACAGCAAGTCAACTACATCCAAAACTCATGCCACTGGAAACCAACACCCATGCAGGGGTAGGATGAGGATCATACCTTTAATAATTCAACTACAATCCAAAAACCAGGCCATTGGGAACTGACATCCATGTGGGGGTGGAAAAAAGGATCATACCATCCTCACCTCAATTTCATGAGGCTGGAGGGAATCAAGAACTTTCAGATCCATGAATAGGGCACATCTTAATATAAGAAATTTATAGATTGATCCATGAACCCGACATCTGGTATCAAAAAGATGTTTGCACAATGTAAACCATCTCTCTCAAAAGTGAAATTAACTGGAACTGCCTCAAGTACATTAAAATTTTTGGAATAATAAGCATTGAGGGATAGCAGAAGGGGAAGAACCCTAATAATCTTCAAGTTCCTCAACAGTGACCCACAACATGGATGGAGTGACAAGAATATAATTGAAGGAGGAATATAGACATCTGTAATACATGTGTGAGGATTTATGTTGATTGGTTCAACTCTAAATCCTAAACCCAGCTACTGAGAACCAACATACACATGGGGAAAGGATCCCAATTGAAGGGGTGAACTGCAATTTTGATGGCTCACTCCCATTTATATTTGTTTCATATAGGAGGATATCACGTCATCTACACCAGCAGAACACCACCACCCTACTCTCAACTGAATGGTTTTATAATCATTTCTATATATTTTTTGTAATTTGTACTTCATTAACCCATTCAGGAGGATGTCTCCACAGTCCACCACCCCAGCGGCTTGGAAATGGAAAGTGGTAAGGACTCCTAAACTCCACTAGAAGAAAATGGGGGGGAAAATAAATGTGTTCCAGAGGAACAACAACATCTGAGACTATGCAATGAGTGACCATGAAACCCTATTTTTAAAATCAGACCATACCGATTTATTCAGTATAAGGCATGGCAGGGATGGACAGCTATCCTCTTCTACTTTACTCATGTAGTCCATGGGTGAATATGATCAGGGATGGACCATACTATCTATTATAATTAGATAGTTGGATTAATGGCAACAATGCAATTCTTAAGAATAAACACAGAAAAAAAGCTCATTTTATTAAATCTGTAAACTGTGTTGTGAAGGTTCCAATTTTAAGATGTGCAGTTACATTTTATATAAGCTCTCAAACTTACCATTGAGTCAACAAAAAGGCAGATACTGTTTAAATAATAGTATATGAAAAATAAATATATTAGTAATTAAAATGTTTATATATTTCTCTAATAATTTAAAATACATAGTGAATATGTAAAAATATGCTAGTTATTATATATTAACTATCTACTTATATTTTAATTACATATATATCAAACATTATTCACTAGGTCGTCTTGTCTTGTAATGGAATTCAAAGAAAACTTCTGAACAATAATTTTACTATTTCAATTCAAATTGTTAACTTTCTTGAGAGAAATGCAATTACAAGAACATCAAATCATGTCACAGAGATAACAACTAGTTGTTGAATTAAAATTTTTTAGGCACATTAACTATACAATAATATGAAATGTGACATATAGGTTTCAAAATAAATATTCCCACAATATACGTTTAAGTATAAGTGCTTGAAAACAAATGCACCCCTTGGGTCAAAATTAGGCATGATGATGTATCACAAACATGAAGCACTGGTACTGCTGTCAAAACACTGAGAGGTAACTATTTGTTCACAAAATTTCATCTTTAAATAATTGTTAATTTTGTTTCTTTCTCTGTTTCTTCTATTTGAAGTAGGTTGGCTGAAGAGCAGCTCAACCAAATATATTATCATTAATTTCAGTACCAGTTAATCCCTAATATTTTATGAACAGATCTTAAATTTTCATTACATTAAACTGAAACAAAAAAATTTAAACATCCATCTAGTTACAAAAAAAATACAAACCTATATGGATTAGGAGAGTCAAATATTGCTTTAAACCCATCTTTGTATTCTCCAAACAGTGTGGCTAGGTTGGAAAAGCTGGGCAAAGTAGACAAAGCACATAATTCCTGCCATACATAATCTGTTAACCAATCAGGAGATGGATTTTCTAAGGGTGTTTCTGTCAGGCATCCTCCAGCTAGCAAAAATCTCCATTCTAACTGTTATATATCAAAACAATAAGAAAGTACATTCACTCATTATAAAGCTGCTAAATTTTCTATTATTTATAATACAAATTCTTAACATACAAACATGGTGCACATACAAGAAATATTAAACAAAATTATTTGGAGAAAAAATTTTTAAAATGTGGAAAAACCCATCTTCAAAATAAAACATATAATGTTAGTGACTTATAACTATTTGATTTCTATATTAAACCAATCAAATACAGAAACGTCTAGTGCTCTAAATCAAGGAAGAAACTGAAAGAATTTGGAACAGGAATTGTAAAAAAATGCATTTTATTGTGTTTTCTTGTTACAAAAAATCTTTGAACCATAGTATAAATTATTATTATTTAAAATGTTGTAAATATACTTTTATCAATAAGATCTCCATTTAGCATGTAAAATCTGTTATCAGTCATTTCAAAATAACTGTAAAACTTTTAAAATGCACTGATAAAAATTACTGTTAGTTCCAGCAGTTATCAAATTATGTCTGGAATAATTCCTGCTTATAAAATTTAGTTAACACTTTTACAGATTAAATCATATGTTAGCTAACTGACTTTTAACAGATGGAATAACACAGCTATTCAAATTTGGTTATTATGTTGCAAAAAGCACCAAAAGAATGATGAAAGAAGCACATAGTCACTGATTATGTAACATAGGATTGTCAAGCACAAGCATCATTCAGACCAATATAGGAAAGACAAAAGTGATGCAAACAAAAAGGGTGTCAAGTATTGCAGCCACTGTATCATTTTGTGGAAAAACAAAGCTTCCAGAGCTTCTGAAATCCCTATATGAGGATTGTGCTAACAATATGAATTTGCCAGAGGGACACAACCTTAGCAAAAAACTCAAATATTTTGTTTATGCATTTAGGGGACAAGATGGCCAACTGGGCTGACCAACAATCATGCCTCAGCACTTAGACACAGGTAGGACAATATGCATCTAGGTTTACTTGAAGCATAAGGGATACTGAAAGTTGGGATAGTACAACCTTCAGAGAGTGTTTGGTCATCTCCAAAGCCTGTGTGAATTCTAGATGGCTAAGCATAGTAACAAATGTTCAGTGTCTTTCTGTTACCTCACACAGACAAACATCTAGATGCTCTGGAAAGTACCTGTTAGTTCAGTATATTAGATTTGGTTTCTGGTTACTGATATGTTGAATTGGATGATGAAAACACACCTAATACTAATTTCAGCAGATTGAAGGGGCTTTATTAATTCCACGTCAGACAATTCAGTCTTTGTAAACTATCTGCTACTTTCAAAAGGCTGATGGAGCTTACATTAACAAGGCTGCAATGGGAGAGCTGTTGCATCTATGTAGATAACATACTAGTCTTTGGTCAAATATTTTAAGCCACTGTCGAGAACATGGGAATGGTATGACAAAACATCAAGAATAGAGGCTTAAAACATAAACAAGGAAAGTGAGAATTCATGTGCATGAAGGTAGAGTTTCTCAGTCTTACAGCAGGCAAAAATGGAGTGTCTATGGATTCTGTGAAGGTGGTTATGGTCAAAAACTTGCATGGTAGGGATTTCACCAATGAGTAGTCTGACTGGGATGGGCACCTACCATATGTCATGATGGCATTCCCTGTTTTCCAAATCTCCTGATGTTCAGATATGATTTACTGCCATAATTCCAAAGCAAATATAGCACAGTGTTTGTAGAAATCTGTGGAATGACTGTGTTTTGCAATAGCTGATGCACATTAATTTGCATATCAGCAAATGGGCAAAGCAGCTAGGTGTTAAAAGAGGTTATATGGAATAAAAGTTTGAGCCTGATGACTAGGATTAGCAGTGTGTAAGCATTTCATTTCTTGTTGTACTGATCTATATCTTTATGGTTAGCATGATGAGATGTTTGGGATCACTACTTTGGTGGAAGATGAATCCCTGCCCAAAAGGTCTTGTTCTTAACAAAATGATATAATGGATAAGAATCTGATTGTACCTGTAAGCAGCCAGGATGTCATTAATTTTGTGTACATTTCCAACACTACTTTACATTGACTATGATACCATATCAAACAACCTATTATTGACTGTTGCCAAACAATTGAAATTTTGGATTTATTGGTAAAGAGCATTCTCCTCCAACTTTGTTCATCCCTTAGGTTGAAGTCTGATGCCCATTTCAGCCTTTGATTTGGTTATCTCTCCTAAGGAGCATTTTTGAAAAGCTACACATCTACTGTGTCTGCTTCAAGATAATGTTTATCTAAGTGTTCTGGAGTTATTATTAACATCTGTACTTACAGGTAGGTCATTAGCACAATATCTACTGGATTGATATATAATAAATAAACAGCTTATCCCGAGTTACTTAAAATCACTTTTGAAAAGTTTGGGCTTTCTGCTTTGACTGTTTCTATTACAAACAGTACTACTTTACATACAGTTCCTACTGAAACATAAAATGTTGACACTATTTTGCATGGAGTCTAAAACTGACTTAAATATACAGCAAGATAAAAACTACAAATTCAAACCCATAGTGAAAATCTGTAGATTTAGTAAAAGATAATGAAAAACATTTGTGGTTTATAATAGAAAATACTTACAGGATCGATCATTCCATAATTCATCATGATTCTTGCACATAATAGAAATGCAAACAATAGCTTATGCTTCTCAAAGAGTGAGTGGCACACATTCACATACAAGTTATAGGTGAAAAATGTGTTTATGTTGACAATACGCTTATCCACTTGCTCTAGAGACAAACAAACCAAGAAATCACAAAAGATCTGATACATTTGTAATAAATAAATGTACTTAAGTTCCTGTTTGTTCTGAAGTTTCTACATACAAGTATGTATACCCCATTAGTATTTAAGGAACATAATGGTGAGAAAATAAACTACAGTTCAGTTTGATTAAAGCAAAAGCCAGTACACTTGAAATTATTTTAAATGAGTTTTATTTTATTGACTTTAATTGTTTTTTCATTATATAATATAGTAATTACTAATAATGAGATAACTTATGGGATAATAAATAGCTGTTTAGAGCAGAATAATATAATGCTCTCTATAAAATTTGGAAAAAAAAGTACCAAATGAATAACAAACATGATCAGCTAGTTATACAGTACTTTCAGAGTAATAACTTGAGACATTACAAAAGAAATGGCTATAATTAATGATTTATCCTGAATTTAACTTTCTTTGTAAGAAATATAAAATTCTCATATATTATACTGACAGAAAAAAAACACATATAAAGTTTAATGTTTCATATAAAATAAAATATAGTAATTTATATCTTGAAAACGTTAACTTTACTTTTACATTATAATCACATAGGCAAGGAGAATAAATGATTAAACAAAATATTATGAACTAAGTATTGTTACATACAACATTTCTTTTAAAACAATGAGCTTTTTCAAATGCTGAAGATGTCATTCAAGCATCTTAGACAAAAAATCACCAAACATGAAATTATAAGTACAGAAAATGAAGAAAAAACACAATTAACAATTATAAGCTAATAGAAACTAAATAAATATGAGTAAAAGCATTGCATTATGATTCAATAGTTTTTCATCAAAACTTAAAGACTCACCTGTTTTAGCAGCACCAATAATTGATGATATAAAAATCTTAATGTACCATTCTAATGAGTACTGATACATAGGATCAATCTGAGCGAGGTCTGCCATACAAAAGAATAATATTTGAGCTCTCACTGCTACTGGAATGTACTGACTTCGTGTAACATCAATATCTTTCTCAGTCTGCTCGGCTATAGCAACTTTATTCTGTGGAAAAAGATTTAATTTAATCATAGCTTCAATTAAAACAAACCAAATAACTTCTTTATAAAATTATTTTTGGGCTTAGCGTTGCAAAACAAAGTAATACTTAGTATGCCTCTTACAAATAAGTATATAAAACTTACACAGAAAACAAAGAAGAAGAAAAGACACAAATATCAAACTTCACAAGAAAAATATAATCTGTACACTTGTGTGATGTGCAAATACCACATATCTTTGTACTTCATCTGTATTGTTTATTTTGTTTCAAAAGGTATTTTTATTTGTAAAGGGTTTTTATTCTGTATTTGGTGTTTTATTTTGCACATTATTTTAATGTTGGATGGTTATATGTCATGCAACTTACTTATCTGATAAATAAGGATGTTTATTGTATTTGTGAGTCTTGTGTATGCATGATTCATGTAGTGCATTATCATGCCATTTGCATCCAGTTTAACCAGGGGGTTGTAACTTTCATGTTTCACCAGCTCACTTTGAAAGTTTTAAACTAATATCAATGACAGCATGAGAAAATGCTTTAGATAAGGAAGAATGCTGTGGTATGTAAGTATCACACACATCTCATTCTCCTATAGTAGAGAAGTCTCATTCTTATTTCAATGTTCTTTGATTCAATACCAACCGATTGTGTGTTTATCTTCTTCCAAACAGTCCAACACTAATAACCTTAAATTCAGTTATTACTATTGTTTATTATCATTTTCTTTTATTTAAACACTATATATTTTACTCTTTAATTCAACTTTACATAGCCATCAACATAATAATCCTATCCATTTGACCACCAGTCTGTCTTGAGTTCAATCTTTTATCCGTTTCTCAATAAATACAGTATTTACCTTTGTTCAACTTTAAAAATTATAATTTTTTCATTCAGCCTGCAACAAATCACCACACCTATCATCTTCTATACTAGATTCATAAATTTTCAGTCGTTGTGAAGATCAGATAAACATATGCTAATTTAATCGTTAAAATCCCACACTTGTTTCACCACAAGTCCTTAAAAAGTTTTGGGCCCATCTGACAACACTAACATTAAAACTGATTTTATTTATTATTAAATAATGTTGAACTAGATGAAAGTGAATACTAAGAAATGAAATGTAGATTAAATTTGATTTTTCACATATGATTTTAGGCTTAAAGATCACAGCAATGCATAGTTTTTTTTTGCTATTCTAGAAAAACTTACTTTAAACCAGCAATAGAATTTGGATTATTACAGCATATACTTACTATTTTTCTCTTGATTATGCTGTAAATTCTAAAATGAAGTATTTTAAAAAGGTCTTAGATGAATTCCTCATGCTGTAACTTATACTATAGATTCAAATGAGAATTACAAAAATTGTTTGTAGTTATGGATGGAGATCAAATCATCATTTAGAGTTTTAATTACCTAGAAAAACATGCTTACTCAGTGAGATGCAATGATCTGGCCAGAAGGATTTTCATAAGTTTTCATTACAAAAAATAACCATAAAATCAAGAATTGTAAAAGAAGCAAATCTCATTTTTGAATTCAAAGTTTCTATTCCAAGCATTTATTTCTTTATTACTCATGTAAAATACAAATAAAAGTACATACATGTATGTAATTACAATTTACATAAAGCATTAACCTGACAATGATATTAACATAATATTATCCTTAATAACTTATTCTCACAGTATAAACCTGTTCAAGTTTATTTCTTTACCTTAATTTCTGATGATGTGATTTTAGAAGCTTCTAAAGCCTCTATCAATTCTGTATCATCCACTGGACTGCCTTGAGATGCAGTTAATTGTTGTAAGATACGATCTTCAATATCTCCTAGTTCTTGTTTCATCTGAGCATTGCTGAAAATTAATTGGTTTTTGGCTTCTTCTAAATCAGGACGTTCTTCGGCTACAACATAGCCCAACAACTGGTCTTCAAGTCCACTAGCAAAAGTTGCATATAATCAATAATTATCATGTTTTAAGAATTATAATTGAATAATGATTAAAAAATATTTCATAAAATTCTTTATATAATAAAACAAATATATAAATATTTATCATTTTACACAAAATTTGCATATATATATATATATCTAAGCATGTATGCAATAAAAGTATAATATTATATACTAAAAACAAAAATATGAAACTCTATAGCCCTAGTGTTTTTGAAAGGTTGACCAATCTTCAACAGTACAATAGAATGCCACATTTTCCTAAAAATGATTATGTAAAGAAAACACACTTTATGTATCTTATCTACTTTTAATTACATATATAAATTATAGAATAAAAAAAGTGTTGTTTCTTTTAAATGTATATCTCATTTGTAATGCCCAGCAATTAACCCTGATGGTTTTTATAAGATTAAAATATAATTAAAATTATCCCACCTATAAATATACTAGTTAATATACCATTCTAATTAAAGTATGCAACAATATAAAATAAAAAGTTATAATGATTACATTTCACATGACTCCTCCTATTTCGAGAAATCAAGCGTGACATTACACATACTGGCTTTTATATAGGTTAGATATACTTCTATGTGATGATTCAAAACGATAATTAGTGCATATGTGATCCCTATATAAGGTGTTTTTTGCTTTCATTCACAGTATTGATTATGCTAGATAGTAGACAGAATATCATTCCTTTTTATTTTAATTTATTGCTTATTATTATATTTTTATTGTAAAGATTGTCTACTTTGTTAGCTTAAAATCTGTATTCAGAATAAATCTTAATCTCCTAAGGTGGCCAAACCTCGTAAGATATTATTGGTATTACAGGCAAAAATATTATTAACAAAGCCCAAATGATGAAACAATGCATTCTAATTTTTATAAATAAATATGTAAGAAAACTATATTTAATTAGCTATATTGATGGTCAGGTTGATTTTTAGTTTCATTAAGCTTACTCTGATCAAAAGTTATTATATATGTTTAACTTTGAGTGATTAAATTGACAATTATACACAACTACAATTCATGATCAACAGTTTTACCTCATTCAATATATCTAAACTTTTGAATATTCTGTTGTTATTACATATTTGCGATAACAGTTTATTTGTCTAATACTTGGTTGGATAGTTTTGGGGGTTTATTGGTGCAAAGTAGCATGGCTACCTGCACCAAACCACAGGTGTAAAAATAGAAACAAAAGGTAAACTCCATAAAAAGTAAAAAGAAATCAAGTTACATGCTAAACAATGTCCAAATGACTGGTAAAAAAAACACAAATAGCTGTAAAAAGGCTAATGGCCAGTAAAAAGCTAAAAATATGATCAAGTTGGACAGTGTCACCATCACCAATGACACCAACCAACATCAGGGGTAAACACTTAAATAATATCTGTCTAAAATGGTGCTGCAGCTCCCACTCGTAACAATGGCACAAAAGTGAAAGGTGAGCAATTGTGACTTGAGTGTCACAAAGGACACACATTGGTGGATCAGTCCCACATAAAAGAAAACAACGAGTTAAAAACTGTGGCCAATGTGTAGTTTAGCCAAGACAATTAGATGGTAAAGCAACAACAGTAGGTTTAATCTGGAAAAGCTTGTTATTAAGCTGCTCTCCCCAAATCGAATGCCAACTGGTGCAAAGCTGTGCTTTGATCACAGGACCATAGTCCATAAATGGAACATGGAAGGCTGTGACAGTGCCAGAGCATAAGGACTTAGCTGTGGTATCAACAAGCTCATTCTCGTGAATACCAACATGACCAGGTATCCAGATAAACTAGATAGAAATGGAAGATCAAGAAAAATGGGTCTGTCATTTTTTAATATTGATGAGAACTAATGTTAAGTGATTCCAGGGCCTGTAAACAGTTAAGAGAGTCAGTGTAAACAGTACAGTCAATGTACTGCTTAACTTCTATGTGATTCAAGGCAAGAGAAATGGCATACAACTTGACAGTGCACACGGAAAATGCAAAGGGGATACTGTGAGTAACCACCAAGCCACAACAAACCATGGCAGAGCCAACAGAGTCTTCTGATTTCGAACCATCTGTTACTACTTTCCTCAGATGACTCAAAGAAAGGTCAAAGGTGGGGATGGTAATGAGCCATGGCAGGATGAGCTGGTTATTGGACTCAGCATTGTCATCCAATGACAGACCCAATTTAGCCAGCTGTGCCTGGATACAAAGGCCAAAAGGAGGAATGACAGACTGTCTATTTTGAAAGAGCACAGCCCACCAAGGAAAGAAGGCACAACCCAAGGTTGGATGCTCTGGTAAAGATCGAAGTTTGGTAGCATACTGCAAAGAAAGTTGCAAATGGTAGAGATGAAGAGGAGGTTTGTAGGACTCAGTGTACAAACTCTAGACTGGCAAAGTGCAGAAAGCCCCTGTGCAGAGCTAAAGGCCCAGATGATGTACAGGGTCCAACATCTTTAAAGTAGAGGGCCTGGCAGAACCATAGTCCAGCTTGGAACAAGTAAGGACACGATAGATCCTCAACATTGATCCACTCCTCAAGAGGTGGAAGAGAGGAAACGGAGGATGTTCAGCACCCTTTTACATTTGTCATGAAGATGCTTAATGTGAGAAATGACAGTAAGCTTACAGTCAAAGCTAAGCCCAAGAACTTTGCCTCAGGAACTACAGGAAGAATAACACCACCGAGACAGAGCTCAGGATATAAACTTTTTTGCTGGCAAAAATGAAAGCAAAATGGTTTTAGAGGAATAGAAGGTAAAACTGTGTTCAGTGGTCCACTTTAATAAGTGAGTAAGGGCAGTATGAAGCTGCCATTCAATAAACCTCATGTTCAACGACCAACAAGAGATGTGTAAGTCGTAGACATAGAGGCCATTTGCAACAGTAGGAGGAAGTTGTTTAGTGATAGCATTGATCTTGATACTGAAAAGGGTGACACTCAAGACACAGAACATAAAAGGGTTGAACCTACATAGACTTGGAATCACCTGTCAAGTAAAAAGTTATGAATAAAAATGGGTAAATGGCAACATAACTCATAGGAGTGAAAATCCCACAAATGCCAAACCTCCATGTAGTGTCATAAGCCTGTTCAAGATCTAAGAAGACAGAAACAAGATGCTCTCTCTTGAGGAAGGCTTCCTTGATCAAGGTTTCAAGATAAATCAAGTGGTCCATGGTGGAGTGCTGTTGACGAAAACCACATTGGGTGGGTGAAAGATATTTATCTTGGCTAATTATTTGACAGATACTGCTAGTACTATACATTTTAACACATTAAAAAAGTTCCTTCCTCTGAGCTTATCTCAGGGTTATGGGACAACCACTAGCTGGGTGCTAATTTCTCTGTAGTAATATAATTTTTTAATTCCTGGGCTTGGGATCAAATCTGGACTTTTTAAGTAGCAGAGTTGTTAACCTAATAGCTACTGTTGGCAAGACACTTCTTAACAACTTAAACAACCACACATAGACAAAATAACTAACGAGTTTAGTGTATTAATCCACTGAAAATACAAGATATATCATATCAGCACCTGGAGATAAAAACATGATTAATCAATTTAAAATTAGTGTAGAATATTTCAAAAACTTTGAATAAAACAGAAAAAGCAAAGTATAACACCAAAATCCTTATTAGAGATTATATTTTAATACATATACTATCCTATCTGTTAAAGATCATTAATACATATAACATACACAAGTATTATTTTTATAAAAATATTATTAGAATATGAACATAAGATTAAGTAAGATGTAAGAAATGTACAAATATAGTAAATAAAAAACTAACCCTAGTGTTATCCCTCAGGTGATAGTATTACCTTGGTGTTAAGGTGAAGTTGACAAGTGTGACCTTAGAAGATACCTCTGGGCTGTAATGTGGGTTTGAGAGCTTGGTGGTGATGTAAAATTTAAAATCACAATGATACGGTATCACAGAATCCCCAAGTTTTATCATGTAGCTACCTGACTGTTTGAAGACCTATAGTAGTAATTCAAGATATTATCATATTATATACATGAAGATAGGATTACACACAAATTAAAAGACCTCTATATTTGTTCCATTTTTCAATGGTTATTCTTTACAAGATCCAACTTTTTTATCATTCAGTGGTTGTACTTGCACTAGGGAAGTTCCAGTACAAAAATATTTAAACTAAGTTTATATTAATTACTGATCCATTACTTATTTCTTTTCAGAAAGACTTATTTGCTAATTTCCAAACTAAAACGTCTTAAGCCAATAAAAGAAAAGAGTTTAGCAAACTTTGCTAAAAACACAGAGAAAATCTTTGTTAAGGTAACTTAATATTATTTAAGGATATGTTAAAAATTTTCTTATTTGTCATACATATATGAAGAATATATTTTTTCTGTAGAAAAATGTTAATATAAAATATATGTATGATCAATAAGCAAATTTTTAACATATCCTTAAGTAATATTAAGTTACCTCAACAAAGACTTTCTCTGTGTTTTTAGCAGAGTTTGCTAAACTCAATTTCAAATGTAAAAAATTAATATGTAGAAACCAAAATTTACTATAAAATAATTTCATACCTGCTTTAATAGAATAGGTTCTAAAGCTGGATCTAATTCTTCACCCACATTTTCCAATAAAGTAGGCTTACCAAACCTTATGGCATTCTCCAAGCTGCGTAAGAAATCTTTATCTGAGAGTTTTAAAATCTCTATTCCAAAATTTTTTTCCATAGCCTTGATCCATTTATTAGCTTGACCCTAAGTCACAAGGAAATGGATTACTTTTAACTTGAGAAAACATTATGACAAATGAATTCTATAACTTATGTTTGTTTGTTTGTAGTTGAGCACACATCTATACAGTGATCTGTCAGTGCTGTGCCCTCCCCCCCCCCCACCATGTATCAAACATTCAGATTTAATGCTGAGCCACTATACAATAAAGTATCAAATATGATAAAATTTATGGAAAACAGAAGTTTGAAAGCAGTATTAATAAATATGTTAAAGAATGGATTGGAAAATGAATTTATAAAATACACACATATATAACAGTTTGTATACTTTTAATCTTTAAATAAAAATCTAAAGAAATAAATCATATGACAAAAATATGAAATTCCTATTAGAAACAATTTTTTGTTAAAGAAAACAAACCTGAGGATCAATAAACAGTGGCCAGAATTTGGACTTTTTTGCAATAATTGCATTTTCAATTGAAAGTACATCCTTTGGAAGACCACAGATTTGCCAGTTTCTGATCTTAACAGGCTCACCGAGATTAGCTGTGAAACAAAATACTTACAAACTGATACATAAATCAAAAAACCAAAAGCACCAAATTACTAAATTTATTTAGATTAGAATACTAATTACAAGAGACAGTTTATACAATATTTAGTTGTAAGTTTCTTAAATGGTTCATTCTCCAGTCAAAAAATTGAAGACCTTAAAATTTTTCAATCATAAAAGTAAACTGTTTCTGTACTCTATATATTAAAGAAAGTGTTATTGTAAGAAAAATTACTCATCATCTCTAATTCATCAAAAGACATTGGTAATATAATAATAACAAGACCACTTTACAATGCAAAAGTAGATCATATCTATCTAAATAATTGATGAAAAACTTGCCTTGTTTTTGAAGTTCTTTATTTTTAGTAAGATGACACAAATGCAATGAAATTTCTGTAATCTTAATGCATCACTCCTTAACATTCAGCCAGCTTTGAAACAACTTCCATTTTCTGTTCAACCTTTTTCATTTTATTTTATTTTGCTGAATAATAATAGTTGTGTATAGCTAAACAAGGTAAGCAAAAACAAGCTAAATGGGAAACTCACCAATAAGAGAAGGTTCACTAGTATGTGGAACATTATGTTTTTCAAGACCAAGTATCCATTCTTTAACCATTGTAGTCCTGTATTCTGACTACATAAAAGATAGCAAGAAAAAGTTCATAAGTAAAAATGATAAAATCTTGTATTGTACATTTGAAATAAATTAGGGAGGGCATTTGTGTGAATAATTATTAAGTATATAATAAAACCTAACTAAACAAATTGTAGGTTAATGGCTCATAACCTATACTTATTATAGTGTGTAAAACCATAAATGTTATTTCATTTCCAAGACTTATTGCATCAATGACTATGTGGTATATTCTGGTAAAATGGATTACTTTTAGAGCAATTGGATATGTCTGCTGTATTACAAGAGATCCAACATGATATCTATTACACAGCAGTACTGAATTTCTCTGAATAACTGAGTTCATGAGAATGAACTAAAAAATATTGGACATAATATAAACACAGTGAACAGTTTTTATTAACCCTTTCCATATGGATCACAGGGAAAGGCCATGTAATCATGTTTGTTGATTCACATTCAAAATTTTATTGAACAACTATTTCATGAATTTATGTTAATAAGTTTGGTATCAAAATGTAGATCATAATTCAAATTTTAGTATTATACATGCTCAATTTCTTAATTTAAAAGTAAATATTAAAAAAACACAGATGAACATCGATTTTTGAGTGTCACGTGGTATGTTGAATGCAGCACTGGTTCAAATTATATGTTTATGATGTCAAAATACCAAGTCTATAGTTTTGTACGAATTAGAAACTAAAATTACCGATATTGACAAGTTAGAATAT